TACCATCACTACCACCACAACTACTACCACTACAACTACCACCACTACAACTACCACCACCACCAGCACCGCCACCACCAGCACCGCCACCACCACCAGCACTGCCACCACCACCACGAACATTACCACTACCACAACTACCACCACCACCACCTCCACAACTACCACAACTACCACAACTACCACCACCACCACCACCACCACCACAACTACCACAACTACCACCACCACTACCACCACAACTTCCTGGCAGGGGATGTAAGGAAGTCGCTACCAGTAGTTTTTTGTTTGGTTACATAAAATACGTTGTTTTTCACTTCGTGTTTCAGGAAATTATGTAAAGAAATAAAAATTACATTACTGCATAATGATATATATATTGTTTTTATTTTGACATTTGATGGACGTATTGAGAAAGAACAATGTTTTATTTTTTATAAAAACTTGAGGAAAATTTGGCACTGATTATTTCTGTAATTTTGTGTATGTTTTAATGTTTTGTTTTGTTTTATTTCGTGTTTACGAAGTGGTAAGTGCGATAAAGTAAGATAATTAAACCATACCACTGGCGGGATAGAACTCGCGATCACAGAGTCTTAACACTCCAGACCGACGCGCTAGCCAGACCGCGTTGGTCTGGAATTTTAGGACTCTGATCGTGGGTTCTAACCCACCCGTGGTATGGTTGGTTTTCTATTGTCATTACGAGTCCGTGAGTCAAGTAAGATAATTGTTTATATTTGTCTTTTTCATTCTGTTCTTACGTTCAATAAGCCAGTGTTTGACATTTTAATTTTTGTTTACGTTCAGGCTTCTTTCAGACTTACCTCTGAGACTGACACCACCACGAGTGCCAGGCCACCATGCAGGTGCTGGTGTTCTCTTATTAACTTGACTTGTGCTCACTCGCCTCTCACGAACTGGCAGTGTTTTATCTTTCCTGTGAACCTTCCTAGTGCATACACACATCACACACACACACACACACACACGCACGCACGCACGCACGCACGCACGCACGCACGCACACACACACACACACACACACACACACACACACACACACACACACATTATGAGCATTAAGGGAAGCAATCTACTCGAAGCGGAAGGCGAGTACAGCGGACAATCATCAGACGAGTGCCCTTCCTCTCGTAGATATCCAGAGTTCAAGGCAGGGAACGCCAGCGGCGGCATTGAGAGACCGCAAATGACTTCCCAGAACGGAGTCATTACCATTACCCCGGACACTGACATACCCCGCAGAGTGGACCTCAGACGGGCCAAGTCCCTGCGTGTAGGCGACACAGAATACCAACAGAAAAGGTACACAGTTCTCTTTGATCCTCCTAATAAAAATGGCTACGAGGCTAGCATCGACACTTTTAATCGACAAGGCCCTCCGAAGCCTCCACGACTACAGAATCCTGAAGGAGGGGAGGGCGAAGGGCAGCCCGATGTGGGCAGCCCAAGCAGTGGTTTCAACTCTGTCACCTTCAGGAGGAGCCTGGCCAGCGGGATAGCGAGGGTGCGCAGCTTTAGCGGTAGAGACTTGCACGACAAGTACGTGGAGAGGACACCGCCTAGGAGCAGCAGCGCCTACGTGCAGTTCCGTGACGATGATGGTGACTGGAGGAGACACAGCCTCCACAGGCTCTCCCAGTACGAGACGTGTGACCACACCTTCAAGGTGAGTTCCTTTCTCAATTCTAATGTGCATGATTAATCTCTATTTCTGTTCATACAAATGTGAGTTTTGCTGAACTTCGGACTGAGATAAAACATGTATTATTATTGTAATATATAATGGTTTGGTTTAACTACAGTGTTAATTATCACAGAGAAGAAGAGCAGTAACACTCACCATAATATCAGTCACAATGTTTTATTGATCACACTAGCTGCGTTCACCACACTAAACTCAAACATTACTCAACTACTTAACTCTTCCTTACAACTCACAGCTGACCCACAATTTTCTATCCGAATTGCGGCTTAGTTGTGAATTGTTCCGGCCACAGTATTGTGACCGCTGTTGTATTTGTGTCGTCTAAACTCGATACTTTTCGACTTAGTTGATTTACACAGCTGAGGCAGCGCAGAGTAAATAACAGACACTAAACTATATAAATGTTATATTTTTATAATTTTTGAAGCACGGGTATTTTTTTTTTTTTTTGTATACGAAAATGGGAAACCTAATATTAAGATTTGACAATTTACACTTCATGGAACAAAAGCTGCGCTCTTAATGTTCAAATAAATAAAAATAATCTTTATTTCAGCAAGTACATGATACGACGCATACAGACCGTAGCTGACATCACTGACATAATATGTAGAAGACACTGGTTATACAGATCATTTCGGGCAAATTAAATTCATTTTTGTCCCCAGGATGCGACCCTCGCCAGTCGACTAACACCCAGGCACCTATTTGCTGCTAGGTGAACAGGGACAGCAGGTGTCTTAAGGAAGAACGCCCAAAGTGTTTCAACCCGTACCGGGATTATTTAGCAGTAAAACGTGTGAGTTCGCGAGTGCAAGTCCTAGTGGAGGCTCGTTCCTCCGTCTGCTCGCCTCAGGTCTACGTGATGTCATATCTAATGTATTAGGAAGATCGTTTCTGGTTGTAAAGCGTAAAATTTGGACTTCGGAATTCCATTGCTTCCTCTCCCTTTATCGACCTGTATAAAATTTGGAGATGCGTTTAGTCTTCACGATCCGAGAAAGGTATCCTCGTATTCCATAAGCCCAGCCTTCTCTACCTCAACCCACGCAGAAGGATAGCACATGGTGACTTTCATGCTGAAGGGCTCTTGAATCAGTGAACTGGAGTTACCCCCTCTCCCATACCTTGGATCAAACCTAATTCCCATTTCCCTAGGCGGCGCTTGATTCCCAAGGAGTTTAGCGCCTCCCAATAAATATACCGTCACATAATAATAATAATAATAATAATAATAACATAATAATCATCTGAACGCCCATACTATGCACGGTATACTGTTAAGGTAGTTTTTATGAGGTACTGCTTAGCATTTTAGACCTAATTGACCCTCTTCCATTTCTGGACGTTCGATATATTTCTGAAAATCGACTTTTTTATTCTCGTTCACTTGACATATATAAATATATTTATATCCATGGTGTTATGGCACCATCTTACACCTGTCAGTGTTATACCACCATCTTACACCTGTCAGTGTTATACCACCATCTTACACCTGTCAGTGTTATACCACCATCTTACACCTGTCAGTGTTATACCACCATCTTACACCTGTTGCAGTGTTATACCACCATCTTACACCTGTCAGTGTTGTACCATCATCTTACACCTGTCGCAGTGTTATACCACCATCTTACACCTGTCACAGTGTTATACCACCATCTTACACCTGTCAGTGTTGTACCATCATCTTACACCTGTCGCAGTGTTATACCATCATCTTACACCTGTCGCAGTGTTATACCACCATCTTACACCTGTCACAGTGTTATACCACCATCTTACACCTGTCAGTGTTATACCACCATCTTACACCTGTTGCAGTGTTGTACCATCATCTTACACCTGTCAGTGTTGTACCATCATCTTACACCTGTCGCAGTGTTATACCACCATCTTACACCTGTCAGTGTTGTACCATCATCTTACACCTGTCACAGTGTTATACCACCATCTTACACCTGTCACAGTGTTATACCACCATCTTACACCTGTCACAGTGTTATACCATCATCTTACACCTATCACAGTGTTATACCATCATCTTACACCTGTCACAGTGTTATACCACCATCTTACACCAGTCACAGTGTTATACCACCATCTTACACCTGTCACAGTGTTATACCACCATCTTACACCAGTCACAGTGTTATACCACCATCTTACACCTGTCACAGTGTTATACCACCATCTTACACCTGTCACAGTGTTATACCACCATCTTACACCTGTCACAGTGTTATACCATCATCTTACACCTGTCACAGTGTTATACCACCATCTTACACCAGTCACAGTGTTATACCATCATCTTACACCTGTCACAGTGTTATACCACCATCTTACACCTGTCACAGTGTTATACCATCATCTTACACCTATCACAGTGTTATACCATCATCTTACACCTGTCACAGTGTTATACCACCATCTTACACCAGTCACAGTGTTATACCATCATCTTACACCTGTCACAGTGTTATACCACCATCTTACACCTGTCACAGTGTTATACCATCATCTTACACCTATCACAGTGTTTAACCATCATCTTACACCTGTCACAGTGTTATACCACCATCTTACACCAGTCACAGTGTTATACCACCATCTTACACCTGTCACAGTGTTATACCACCATCTTACACCTCCCACAGTGTTATACCACCATCTTACACCTGTCACAGTGTTATACCATCATCTTACACCTGTCACAGTGTTATACCACCATCTTACACCTGTCACAGTGTTATACCATCATCTTACGCCTGTCACAGTGTTATACCATCATCTTACACCTGTCACAGTGTTATACGATCATCTTACACCTGTCAGTGTTATACCATCATCTTACACCTGTCACAGTGTTATACCATCATCTTACACCTGCCAGTGTTATACCACCATCTTACACCTGTCACAGTGTTATACCACCATCTTACACCTGTCAGTGTTATACCATCATCTTACACCTGTCACAGTGTTATACCATCATCTTACACCTGTCAGTGTTATACCACCATCTTACACCTGTCACAGTGTTATACCACCATCTTACACCTGTCACAGTGTTATACCATCATCTTACACCTGTCAGTGTTATACCATCATCTTACACCTGTCACAGTGTTATACCATCATCTTACACCTGTCACAGTGTTATACCACCATCTTACACCTGTCACAGTGTTATACCACCATCTTACACCTGTCAGTGTTATACCATCATCTTACACCTGTCACAGTGTTATACCATCATCTTACACCTGTCACAGTGTTATACCACCATCTTACACCTGTCACAGTGTTATACCACCGTCTTACACCTGTCACAGTGTTATACCATCATCTTACACCTGCCACAGTGTTATACCACCATCTTACACCTGTCACAGTGTTATACCACCATCTTACACCTGTCACAGTGTTATACCACCATCTTACACCTGTCACAGTGTTATACCATCATCTTACACCTGTCACAGTGTTATACCACCATCTTACACCTGTCACAGTGTTATACCATCATCTTACACCTGTCAGTGTTATACCAACATCTTACACCTGTCACAGTGTTATACCACCATCTTACACCTGTCACAGTGTTATACCATCATCATACACCTGTCACAGTGTTATACCACCATCTTACACCTGTCACAGTGTTATACCATCATCTTACACCTGTCAGTGTTATACCATCATCTTACACCTGTCAGTGTTATACCACCATCTTACACCTCCCACAGTGTTATACCACCATCTTACACCTCCCACAGTGTTATACCACCATCTTACACCTCCCACAGTGTTATACCACCATCTTACACCTCCCACAGTGTTATACCACCATCTTACACCTCCCACAGTGTTATACCACCATCTTACACCTCCCACAGTGTTATACCACCATCTTACCCCTGTCATGGCACCGTCAACCATCATAACTCTCTTAAACACATTGTGTAAATATTAAAAAATATCCGTTTTAATTTGAATGTTTATATGTTAAAAGTCCCTCGACTGAGAGTGCTTGAGCTGAGGCACTCCAACAACTCCTGCATATTTGTCTAAATACTCACCTGTAATTCTAAATACTATATATATATATATATATATATATATATATATATATATATATAATATATATATATATATATATATAATATATATATATATGTAATTTCATGCACTGGCCAGGGAGGTATACCATCTTTAGGAGTGAAGAAGAGCAGAATGTAAGTGTGGGGGAGGTACGTGAGGCATTACGTAGAATGAAAGGGGGTAAAGCAGCTGGAACTGATGGGATCATGACAGAAATGTTAAAAGCAGGGGGGGATATAGTGTTGGAGTGGTTGGTACTTTTGTTTAATAAATGTATGAAAGAGGGGAAGGTACCTAGGGATTGGCGGAGAGCATGTATAGTCCCTTTATATAAAGGGAAAGGGGACAAAAGAGATTGTAAAAATTATAGAGGAATAAGTTTACTGAGTATACCAGGAAAAGTATACGGTAGAGTTATAATTGAAAGAATTAGAGGTAAGACAGAATGTAGAATTGCGGATGAGCAAGGAGGCTTCAGAGTGGGTAGGGGATGTGTAGATCAAGTGTTTACATTGAAGCATATATTTTTTTTTTTTTATTATCACACCGGCCGATTCCCACCAAGGCAGGGTGGCCCGAAAAAGAAAAACTTTCACCATCATTCACTCCATCACTGTCTTGCCAGAAGGGTGCTTTACACTACAGTTTTTAAACTGCAACATTAACACCCCTCCTTCAGAGTGCAGGCACTGTACTTCCCATCTCCAGGACTCAAGTCCGGTATGCCGGTTTCCCTGAATCCCTTCATAAATGTTACTTTGCTCACACTCCAACAGCACGTCAAGTATTAAAAACCATTTGTCTCCATTCACTCCTATCAAACACGCTCACGCATGCCTGCTGGAAGTCCA